ATCTTGTCAACAGTTACGGAGCATTCAGGACTTACACAACCCACCCTGAGGGAATGTGCAAGTAAGATAAATACCTTTGGTTCTTATCTTATTTGAACTTCCTGCAGCTTGGGACACCACGGGCCACGCCCCTCGGGACATTTCTCACCCTTGACTTCTGTGGCTCTTTTCTCTGGTTCGATTCCCAGCTTTTTGATCTTCTTTTCTGTGGTCTCGACTGAACGCATCATCTATCCCCCTCTCCCCAACTGCCCTTCATCCTCTGGTTTCCATCTTGGTGAGTGGCACCACCACCCAATAAATGGCTCCAGTGATGAAAAAGATTCAGGACTGAGAGTAAAACCAGGCCCCTGGGGGCTGGGGAGCAGCTGCATCGGCCCTGGAATCTTACTTTCAACCCTGACTTTCTAGCCCATAATAATGAGAGTATCGATAGCTGCTATTTATTGAGCCCTTTCAAACTGCTAAATATTTTACATACATCTTATTATCTAGACAAGACCCCTGTAAGGAAAGTATTCCAACAATTAAACCATTTAATCTTTCTAAAAAAAAAAACCCACTGAGTGAGGTACTCCAGCTGTCCCTTGGTATCCTTAGGGGATTGGCTCCGGGATCCCACAGATCACCCAAATCGGCAGATGCTCACGTCCCTCATGTAAAATGGCATAGTGTTTGCATATACATCCAAGCACATTCTTCTGTCTACTTTAAATTATCTCCAGGTTACTTATTACCACCAAATGCAATGTAAATGCTACGTAAATAGTTGTACTGAATTGTTTAGGGAATCACGTCAAGAAAAAAGTCTGTGCGTGTTCACTACAGAGGCAACCATTACAGGCCTAACTATGTACCACACACCAGCAACAATGTAAGTTTGTGACGGAGTCTGTTCAGTCCGAGGTTGGTTGAACCCTGGAGGCAGAACCCAGAGATACAGAGGGCCCACTGTGTTCTTGTTCCTGTTTACAAATGAGGAAACTAAGGCACTAAGAAATTCAGTAAGCTACTTAAGATAACATAGCTATGAAGAAGCAGAGCTGATTGGGAACCCTTGTTCTCGGCCACCGGGCCACCTCTGCTACCTGTGTGGATGCCGTTGAATGGGGCTGACTTAACATCTGTGTGCCTGGACTGACATGTCAAGGAAAATCTGTGTGAATAGTGCCAAATGAGGGTTTCGGAGAGGGGCCAGGGGCAGGAGGAACCAGCTTGTGAAGAGTCACGTCACTTGCCTTTTTTTTTTTTTTTCCTGATACATAATGGAAAATGGCTACAAACTGACAGACCCAACGACAGCAGTGAGCTTGACATTAAACATGACTCGGGAGCAAAATCTCTTGCCTGAGAGAGCTGGTGTGGGTGTTATTGAGAGAAATGAAACAATAATCTGGAGCTGAAGTGGTTTTGAGGATCTCAAATCGTGATCTGGAAACATCATTAGGGGTAGTAAATCACCCAAACTTCCCACTCTCTTTTCTTTGCATTTGGAGAAATCAAGCAGACAGCCAGGCATGGAGTCAGTCTACAACACTCCCCGAGTACCTTTTTTATGAAGTACTCTTTCCAGCGCCTTACAGTCTCAAGCTGTGAATGTAGAATAAGTACTGTCTTTTTTTTTTTTTTTAATGTTTGCAAGATCGGGTTCTCAAAAAGAAAAGTGTTCTGTGAATGCCAGACACTATCATATAATAGGAAGAGTGATTTGAAGAATGACAAAATCACCACTCCCAAATTCCACACCAGAGTTTAGGAGTAAACAGATCTGTCGTATTAAAGAATTCAAATCATTTAGGGGCAACTGCTGCTCCATTGTCAGTGTCACACAGCTGGTGCAGCCTCCTGGGACTCTGTCTGAGTCACAGTATTAAAGTGGAGACTATCCCTTGTTTGCGAACCCATAGGATTCTAACCAGGATTCCCTCCCCTCCCTAACTCCAGGTCCGACCAGGCAAGTAAACAAAGAGAACACCAGGTGAGCATGCGTATTTACATAAAGCCACAAGGCCGAGCAAACAAACTCTTAACTGGTTAAAGGGCATCTTATTAACGACTCTTATTTCTTGTCGTTTTTAATGAGCCTTCCTCATCTAAAATCTTGTCCATATTCTTTAAAAGTCCTTATCCCCCTTCTCCTTAATGCTTCGCACAAGTGTTTCTCCCCCTGCGTGACACGCCAAGGGCTCTCTTGTGTAACTCCGATATCCTTTTCATCACTAAGCGTGAAGGTTCTAAAACAATGTGTGTTGGTTTTTAAATAATGAATGTAAATTTTTCCCCAGTGTCTGCAAGCTGCCCATTAGCTGAGAATTTCTATTTTTGCCATGAAGGGGTTAAAATGGATTCTCTTTTGAAATGTGCTGTGCAAATATATATTTTCTTTCACTTCCAGGGGTTCTACTTCAGATATGACAAACTGCCGCCCCAACCTTCCCTCTCAGGGGTTTGCAGAGATCAGGAAGAAATAGACTCAATCATTGGCTAGAAACTGAATTTCAGTAAGGGAGCAAAAGATGCTCATGATTTAGCAAGTCAACAAAGAACATATTCTAGGTTCTCATTATGCATTTTTAAAATGCAGTGTTAGTTTGAAAACAAACAAATAGGCCAAGGAGGAAAAAAAAGAGAAAATTCTACACATGAAAGGCCAGTATTAAAGGTCACTGATGATTTTGCTGTTCCCTTTGTTCCGAGTTTTCAAATACTGGATGATGGGTGTTGACCTTCAGCTCGTCCTGTTCTCTATGCCAGGACCCAGAACGATTCACAGGCGTTATTTATTTAGCTAACTTCATCATTAAAGCTGCCAAAGAGGATCCAGGGTGGAACCAACATAGGGTTCAGGTCCATAAGAAGGGCTAAATTAAATATTGTACAGCAATGACCTCATGGGTTTTCACAACCTCCATGGTAAGTAGATAAGGGAACTGAAGGAATAAGGAAACAAGTATATCCAACACTTATTGAGAATCTGTAACAGGAGAGGCACAGAGCTGAGTTCTTGAACAGACATATAAATAAGCTAACGTCAATACCCTCCAAACAGTCACACTGTAGTGGACCTGGCTGACTGAAAAACAATAATACACACAGAGCGCAATGGAAGAAGAGGGGCCAGGGATGACTTGTAAGGATTGGACGTTTTGGAGGGGTTTTTTGGAGATGGAGCCTGAGACTTAATGGGTGGAGAGTGTTATACAAAGATGGCAGGATGATGAGGGGATAGTAAGAGCAAAGGCACAGAAAAGATATGAGAACCTACTAGTTATAGTATCGGGGTCTAGGGCAGGGCAGGGGTAGAAGGGAGACGATGTGTGCAGAGGGTTTACAGTTGTCCTAGAATGCTAACTCAGGTAGCAACATACAGAAAAGTAGGTTGGCAGGGAAATAATTTAGGAGGCTGTTGCTATGGTTCAGGAAAGAGGTGATGGAGCTTGGGACTGAGCAGAAGTAGGAGTGAAAAGAAAGGCAGTGATCACAGGAGTAGAATCTATCGAATTTGGCAATGGATGGGGCATGAACCACGAAGGAGGAAGATGAGTTGGAGATGATTCTGATGCATTCATTTCACCAAGTGAACCCGTAACCCTTGAGCCACCCTTGGGCCAGACAGAAGGGAATTTCTACTAGGGAGGTGGAGATGTGTGTCTAGAGGTCAGGACTGATACTGATTTAGAAATCAACCGCAAGGATATGACAGTTGAATCCACATGAGTGCAAGATCTTACCAAGGAACAGAGAGTATAAAGGGCGGGGGGAGACAAAAAGAAAACTTTAACATGCAGGGAAGAGAGGCAGGGAAGGAAGAGGAGTCACTGGTGTCATCAGTCCCAGAGGGAAGTGGATGATGCAAGGTGACTGAATTCAGGGAATACAAGTTTCCAAAAAGAGAGCTGAATGCGGCTGAGGGGGTGAGTAAGCAATTTCTTGCGGTCACAGAACTCACCTCCAAGATCCCAAACTCTGCACATACCTATTGAATTATCACACATTAAAAACAAAGTGGTTTCTCAAGGGGAGCCTACTCCTCACTTTACAAGTAGTTAACACGGGACTCTGTCACCAAAAATAAATTGCAGGTTCCAATCTCCTACATTAAACTTTCTCTGCAGCTCACACCACTCTCCTTCCAGTGAGCTTTTTAGATAATTGTTATTAATCAAGTCTGAAGCCTCACATGCTCTTCTTCACTCTTGTGGTATTACACCGTGGTTACATGCAAGGGCTCCCAGGCTCATAAGGCTGGCTGGACTCCGATCTAACCTAGCAATGTGACAAGGGCTTGTTCCCCAACTTCCCTAGCCTGAGCTTCCTCATTTGCAAGTTGCAGATGGTCTTAGCTATCACAGTTGGGAAGAGTGCATGAGAGACTGCAAGTAAAATTCTTGGCAAACTGCGGTGGAAGGCTCAATTCTTTATTGCTGTTTCTGTTTTATAATCTCCCTGAGGGCAGAGGATCACTCCAAACAATGCTATTCCCTAAAGTGTGTGGCACTGACCAGGGACAGTTGTGCCTCGTCCTGCCAGCCGTCGGGGAAACGTCATTCCCGGCAAGACCGATAAAGAGCTGGCCAGCTCCCTCACAGAAGGGCTGGCAGCAGAGACCCGGGCAAAGGCGGATCCTAGGACCCCCCCCCCCCCCGTGACCCTCCAAGGGCCAACGACCCAGGACGCAGAGTGCCCACCCAGGGTGACAACTCAACTAGGCGGAGTCGGGGTGTCGGACCTCCGGGGAAGAAGCAGGGCACGCTGGGACCGGTAGTCTTCAGGTCCCCAAGTTCACGGCTGGGAGGAGGGCCCAAGCGACAGAGCCCTGCCCAGTCCCGCCTTTTGTCCACGTCTCACGTCTCCGGGCCAATGCGGCCTCCCGCCCCTGGAGCCAGCCCCTCCGCGATCCGGACCCCATTGGTCCAGAGGCTCAGAGGGCGCGGCCCTACCCGGAAGTAGCGCCTGGGGAGGTGGTTTCCTAGACTACGACACCGGAAAGCTGGGGGAGGTGCTCCGGCTGGAAGGGCGGAGGGTGCAGGCGGCGCTGGCTGGGGACCGGCTAAGTGGCTTCGAGAGACCGTCCGGCGACGGCGACAGCGACAGCTCGCTCTCTTCCGCATCCCGCCCTCGGCACGGCTCGCAGCCCTCTTGCCACACGCGTCCGGCAATGTGTCCCACCGGCCGGGCGTAGCCGCTGCGCGTGCGCGGAACCGCGGGGCCATGAGCGAAGCCGGTGGCGGCCGGGGCTGTGGATCCGTGGTCCCCCAGCGAGCACCATGGAGCCTGGTGGCGACGACGGCCGCGCTGTGCCTAGTGACGGCCACGTCCGTGTGGACGGCTGGGGCCGCACCCATGAGTAGGGAGGAAAAACAGAAGCTTGGGTAAGGGTGCTTGGCAGACTGGGGTGGGTTTCCTTGTGTGTCTGACCACAGGTGCCTGTCATTTCGAGCCAGGCATTTAGTGGCCTCTCTTTGCGATGGGATGTTTGTGGCCTCCAGAGAACCCCCAGGGGTGGACAGGTTCCGGGGAGGTGGGGGCCGCCGCCCGCTTTGCGACCTCGGGGGACTGTAAGGGTGTCGCCTTGGCCGTCGGTGACATGTGTAGGTTCCTTGAAGGCAGCCGCGATGTGTCGACGCGGCTGCCATGTCAGTGGCCCGTGAAGTGGGCTACAGCCCCTCTTGCTGGGCGGGAGAATCCTGCAGTTGTTTGTCCTGCGAGATATGATGAGATACCTCGCACAAGTGAGCTTCCCGTTGGGAAAATGTTGCTGATATTACAGTAGTTGAGGAAATAATGTTTACACGTGTTATTGAGAAAGAGGGTCATTGGCACTTGGGCATGACACGTTTTACCGTTTCTTGCACTGCTTATTCATAACAGAACAATAGTCGGTGGTGTTTTCAAAAGCCACAATTAAGTATACCTATTCACTTCAAGTAGTTTTATCAGTCTGAAAGTGTCATAATCTTATCAGTTATAATTACAGCATTTCGGAGTCAATATTCCCAATGTACACTAAGTCCCAGGAATGTATTAAAAAAAAAGCCAAGAACCTGTAGAAAATGGGCAAAGGGCTTGAAGATTTAACTCATACAAGAAGAAATGCAAATGATCAATAAACATGAAAAGTGACTCAGCCACATAAATGTGAAAGAGGCATCTTAAAGCAATGAGACAGCTGGTTTTTTAGATCATCAGATCAATACATAGAAAACATATGGATAGAACACTTGGCTAGTTGAGGTGTGAGAAGCAAACCTTGGTGGGAGTGATTTGCTATAACTGCTAAAACTTAAATTGTATGTACTCTTTGACTCAGTAATCCCACCTCCAGGACTCTATCCGATAGAAATAAAAGCACTGTTAACATAGAGATAGGTGTACAAGGTTGTACATTTTGAAAGAACAAAATTGTTCCTTGGAGTATCCACATCATGGAATGACATTCAGACATTAAGGGGGAGGTAGCCTTCATTGGAAGGCTATCCAGGATGTATTATTCCAAGACCAACAGCAGCAAAAAAAATAGAATAATAATGTGTATAGTACCTTCCCATGTTTTTTTAAAAAATAAGAAAGAAATTGTCTAAGCTCAGAAAAACATAGAAAGACGACTGACTACCTTCAGGGGTTGGGAGGTAAGGTGAAATCATCAGGTTTTACTTTATATAATTCCTATTATTCATGTTGTTGCAAGAGTCTTGTATTTTTAAGTACAATAGCAATAAAAGACCTTGGTGGAAAAAAAGATCAAATATCAGCTATTAAAACAAAATCACCACTAAACTCTTAATAAGCATCTTTAATTTTCCCTTTTGAATTGAATGTGTCACTGGTAACTTTCTGAAAACTGTACTCGGTGCCAGGCACTTTCTGTTATCTCTGTAATCCGCCCTGTTTTTTAATGAAGCTGGATGTAATCCCCATTTTGCAGATTTGGGAATGGAGACGCAGGGTTGACTTGTTCAAAGTCATTGAGCTACTAAATGGTAGAGCCTGGTATTCAAACCCATAAGAATTGGAGAAGGAAGCTTCAAGTATCTTGTTTGTCTACCCCTCCCCCTTCTCCCTCTTCTATTAAAATCTTCTAGTTGAAGAATATGCCGCTTTTGACCCAAGATAATTTTTAACTGGAAAAACCCAAGGGATTCAGATCAATTTTGAGATTGTGTGTGAAAGGAAAGTTACAATAACTTAGGCTTGTTGATTTACATTTCCTTATAATATGCTAAGTGTAGAATTAAGAGTTTAGAGCTATAAACTACAAATACACAGTTGCTTGACTGCTTTTCCCTCTGGAAATTTTCAGCAAATGAACCCTCGATTCATGAAGTTTATGTGTAAGATATTTGTAAATCCCTAAGAATGATTTATGATAGAAAGCAGAATGCCCCACCCCCTTTCTCCTCCCCTGGAATCAAACTGGCGATAAAGACTGGAATTGTCCAGAATAGCAAGCAATTGCATAGTTGCTTGAAGTTTATAGTTCCTGGAATTATTTACCTAGTCCTCTGTAGCCTTCTCCTTCCTGGAATAACTTACCTTTTGCTTTTGTGTTTTAAGTGTTACAGCGGTTAATACCACCTTTTCATTAAAAAGAAGTATAAAACAATCCAATTTCTGTAGCTTGTTGGCAGGCAGTGTAACTTTAGAAAAAGCTGCCTTACAGAAATTATTTAGAAATGAAGAAAGACCTAATTTTTGAACTATGGATCTGATTTCCAATATATTTTAATCCATTCTGTGAAATAGATATACAACTTTACAGAAACACTTTTTGTTTAATACAGGAATTACCCTACCATTCTGTATTTAGATAGACTTTGTTATGACTTTTATGATAAAGTAAGAGAGAAGGTTAACTGAACATTAAATGCCTTCAGTTTGAAGTATGTGTTGTGGAATTTGTTGATCATGTGCTGTATAACTGTAAGGACTGAAAAATAATGTGTCCTTGTACGCATTCATAATATATTCATAGTCTTGAAAATTGAATGCTCGCAAAGTTGGGTTAACAGGTTAAAGCTTATGTTGTCTGTACTACATATGACTAGGCACCGCCATTGACACAGGAATTTCTGCGTCTTGGTAACAGTCTTGTATTTTACTTCCAGGGAAGGAAAAAGCATTCCTATACATGACAATAAATGACATCACTTATTGATGTCATTGCCCGAAAGGGAAATTTTAATTTCTTATATATTTTTTGGTTTATTGGCTGATTTGAGAGATCTTTATCACTTGTAAGGCAATAAATGTCTTGAAGGATTCTTTAAGATACTCGGTAATTTTCTTAGATAAATCAATCCATATCTTATTACACATATAGACACAAAGAATTACATTTTAGCGAAGGGATAAAGTCTTGTTTTTGGTGAGTAGGTGTCGCTGAACAATTAATATAAAAAGTTGTCAGGACTAAGTTTATTCAGTTCAGAAGTTTGAGTTTTGATTTCGTGGCCGTAGGATCTGGAAATTAGTCCTTTTCTGTTTGCTAGCTTCATTATTACCAGTATTTCACCATCCATGGTTCCAGTTTTTAAACTGACAGTTGCAATATAACAAGAGGCAAAGTAAAAGTACACCCAGTCATTTCCTATAACACTTCTTCAGTTCTTACCATGAGGAACTTGGGAATAATAGTAAGAGTTAATAAGATATTATTAAATATTTTCCCTTCCTAATTATTGAGAAACTTTAGCCATAACATTAACTTTTACAGTTTTTCCGATAGTTCTCGAGTCCCCAAACTTGAGAGCATTTAATGGAAGGCTGACTTCTTGGTTCCAGCCTTGCCTGTTTGACTTAGTAAATCTGGTGTGGGCACCAGAAATCACCATTTTCAACAGTCAGTTTGGGGATTTTGACAAACAGCCAAAACATGCAAATCTTGTTTTTGAGGATAAGTTTTCTCATTTTAGAGGTGAATATCTTTTATTTGGTTTTTGACAGTTTTTTTTAAAGGAGATGAGAGTACACCATCAAATCATCAATGTATCTTCTGAAAATGTGACAGACTAGACATTAGTGATTTTAGCCAGTTTAAGAGGAGAGGCGGAGGCTTGATAGTATCGTTGTTTCATATCAATATATACACATACCCACGCCTGTCTTTGGCTATAAGCAGTAGTCATTGCCATAAGCAATAGTCATTTCTTCTGGGGGCATTCTAGCAATAGTCTTCCTTTCAGAACAGATGTTAAATAATTTCGTTAAGAGGTAATTGTTTTTCAGCAACAGATTTCCTTCTTTATCCATGGCATGCATCATTCATCAATTTTCTTTGGGAAAACTTTAAGATGAATTTTACATGAATTGCTGGGAAGGAATACTGATAGTCTGTTCAAGCTGTGCGTGGGTCATGAAAGCTTATTGACTAATGCTGATGTACTTCCTGACTCTGCTTTTGTCTCTTTCTAAGTAAATATTATTATTATTATTTCTCTATTGTTGTGTGTTTGCAAAGGAACATTTACTTTTTGGAAGTAGAATAAATAGAATATACTTAACTTTTTTCTATTTCTGCTCTTTTAAAATTAGGAATCAAGTACTGGAAATGTTTGATCATGCTTACGGTAACTATATGGTAAGTAGAAAGCTTATCTTTATATATCATTTGTGTGGACAGATTATTGTGTGAGCACAGTCCTGGGAATTTTGAAACCTGAATTAATAGCACTTTTTTTTTTAAACTTAAATTTTTGAAAATCAGTGCAAACACAGACTGACAATGTTCCTGGGAGTGGTCATTAGAGAACCAGTTTATTGAATAGGTAAGAATAAGTTGAGTTAAATTAGGAAACTAAACAGTTTCCTCTGATGCCGTCAGCAGTGTTCATTGCGTGCTTTCTGTAGCTAGATGTTGTGGCCGTAAACATGCACAAGATGTTGTTGTCTCTGGCATTAAGAGAGATGACTTTCTTAGTAAAAAATATATACGTACAAGAATGTTTCATATACTCTATAAAGAAAATCATTACTTAAAAGAGACAGACTGTTTTGTGCACCTCTACTCTCTGTCCCAGTTCTGTCCCCATGCTGGGCTTAGATTTGGATATATTTTGCTTTCTGATCCACACGGTTTTAAAATGTCTTCGTGCTAGCTTGAGATGAAATAGCAGTTTTAGCTTTAAAGGATGAAAAAGTTCTGGAGGTCTTTTGCACAACACTTAATATACTCAAACTTGCTGAAGCTCCACTTAAAAATGGTAAATTTTATTTATTTGTTTTTTGCCACAATGAATGTAATTCCCTCGTGGTACAGGGAAGGTGGGAGGCCAGGAGGAGGGTTTCCCACGTGGGACTTGGGGGGGAGGTGCCACAGCTGCCCCCGATCTCCCCCTGCTTCTTGCCCTTCAGTAGAATGATCTTAAACTGCAAAATTGTTTTTTTTATTTTTAAAAAGATAAGTTAGCAAGCAGATTTTAGAGTTCAAAAGAAAATTTCCTTTGTAATTTTGTAATGACTTCAATCAAGTTATTCTGGTAATTACTGCTTAGGACCTTGTTTTTATTCCTTAAAATATCAGCATGTTTTCTTTTGACTAAGGCCTGTAAAAATGTAGTTGGGAGAGAGTTGACAGAGAACTAACTTTAGTTTGCTTTTAAATATTTTTAGGTGAGTTTGTGAATTCATTTTTCACTATGTATTACTCAAATATCTTCATGTAGAAACATTATAATATCCAAATACATATACTTTTTCCATTTTTGTATTTTTTAAACACATTTGTTGATCCTTATTCCCTTTTATATTGAACATTTTTAAGAGTACGTACTGATTTCTTAATAAATGTTTTTAGACTATGATGGCGATGATGTTTTAGGTATTTTTAGCCATATTGAAAGCACAGACTTAAATTCATTTTGTGGGATCTCAGCCATTTCCTTCATTTTTTTTTCCAGAATCACTTATTTAAAAAAGCACGTCTGCGGTGCGTGGTACTTGTGGGGCAGCTCGCCTGCTCTGTGTGCCGAGGGGACAGCAAGAGGTTTTGAAGCCTCATTTTCAGTGTCTGGGCAGCTGGCAATGGTTGGTCCTGGTGCCCATAGGGATAAAGAAATCATTTATCCCCGATTAATTCAGTTTGGGCAAAGCGTAATCTAACAAGTTGTTTTTTTTTAATTTATTAAATTTTTTTCAAGTACAGTTTTCTTTTCTTTCTTTCTTTTTTTTTTTTTTAAATGGAGCTGCCTTCTTTTTTTAAATTTATTTATCTTTAGAGGGGAAGGGAAGGAGAGAGAGAAACATCAATGTATGGTTGCCTTTTGTGCGCCCCCTGCTGGGAAGTGGCCTGTAGGGAACTGGCCTGCAACCCAGGCATGTGCCCTGGCTGGGAATCGAACCTTCATTGTCTGGTTCTGAGGACCGCACTCAATCCACTGAGCTGCACCAGCCAGGGCTAAGTACAGTTTTCTATTTCTCCCATCCCAGCCCACCCCACCCCATGCTCCCCACCTCCCTCCCATTAACAAGTCTTAGCTAGTGGTTTTGAGGTGGCCCAGTGGGTCCATGCTATACCCTCCAATCTTAGCCATCTCAGAAATGCCTGCTTTTGGATCCAAAGTTAAATGAAATGCTATATAGCTACATCAGTTCAATACATCCCACTGTGAAGAGGATCTTTTTTTAAATAAAGCACAGTATCTTTAATACCTTGTCACTTACTAGGTAAACAGCAGAAAGGTTTATCAATATAATTTTTCTGCCTTGGCAAGTGTGGCTCAGCGGCTTGAGTGCTGGCCTGAGAATCAAAGGGTTGCTGGTTCTACTCCCAGTCGGGGCACGTGCCTGGATTGCAGGCCAGGTCCCCATTGAGGGGCATGTGAGAGGCAACCATGCATTGATGTTTCTCTCCCTCTCTTTCTTCTTCCCTTCCCCTCTCTCTAAAAATGAAGAAATAAAAATTTAAAAAATATATATATATACACTTTTCCTATTATAGAATGCAGTTAACGAATGGGTTTGTGACAGAGCAGGTGTTGAGGGAACTCCCGAGAGGACCTCCTTTTCCAATTTCTACTTACTGGACCCTGGCTGGGTACCTTCCTATTACAACTACTCACTTACAAGACCTAAAGGAGAGGAATTTTGGCTCCAAAGACTGCGAACTACCAGAATTAATCCTCCCCTCTTTTTTCCTGGTAGAGGGACACCCGTCTGCAGTTGGTGCAATACTTATTTTAAAACGTTCACCTGCTTTACAACAAGTGTGACCCTCAGTGTACTTGTATTATGCCCATTTTATGTGAGTTTTGTAACCCAAGATTTAGTCTAGAATTTACGCTTCCCCTTTCCATGTTCTCAGCTAACATGAAATAGTTCTAAAATATTAAACACGGAGTAGGTGCCCCGTATTTGTTATTTGAAGTCAGTGGAAATTTCTTTCTAGTTCTTACCCTCGGCAGTGCTCTAGAGTAAAAGTGCGTGGGTTTCGGGGTGAGATGGGTTTGAGTTCCAGTCCCACCTCGGTGGTTTCGCAGCCTGGACCCTGCATAGGTCATGTAACCCTGAGCAGTGCTATTCTGTGGAAAATGGGGATGGTCATAGAGGGTGTAAGATTACAGATACAAGATTTTTGGAAACAGGGACACTTATTTAATATTAATAACTTCACCTTTTATATGTTCTGTGTCTAGCACCATGTCTGGTATGTAAATACTTACTAAGTTATTATTTTTTTTCGAGAGCACTGAATTGAATTCTTGTGAAGATTCAATGAAATAGTGCTTAATTTTGTGCATTTGATTATTGTGATATGTCTTTGCCTTTTAAATGCAAGGAAATCATTTTATAAATTATTAAAAATATGTTTGTGGTAAATTGGAGGATATATAAGCTTTAAATTTAATTTGATTTTTAATAGTCAGTTGCCCACTGTGCTAAAATGCCAACCTGCCTGGCACATGGTGGGCTTTTAGTAAATGCTGACAGCTTTTCATTTTTCACTAGTTTTTTTAATATTACTCTCCAGTCCAGTCTACAATGAGAGTAGATCGTTTTTACCTTCCTGGTTCCCAGGAGAACAGTGCTATTTTCCAAAGGCAGGCAATGGAATATGACTAAGAGCAAGAACTCTGGACACGGACCAGGACAGCTGGCAGTGGCCCTGCCGCCTCCCAGCTGGGCCGCATCTTTCTGAAATGCCCGCCTCACAGGGTTGTCGTAAGGGTTCGACATTGTAAGTGCTTCACACCAGTGTCCGGCGAGTAGGAAGCACTGGGTGACTTCACTGCTGCCACTGACCACTGCTGTCACGGTTCATTCTCTGCCCGAGGTGGAAATTGCCTCTTAAAATTCAGCAGCTCATTCCCCAGATCGTACATAGAACTTCCTTAAAATGTACATGTCCTTCCCTGTTCTAGGCATGTGCTTTTTGAGGGTGTTTTTTTTCCTTTTTGGTTCCCCAGCTTCTGTTAACACGGTTCCCCAGAAATGGTGGCGCTCTGCCAGCCTTAGGTAGATTGCTACGTCTCTGCCATCCAGGAGTTTTCTGATTTTATCTGTGATGGGCATATACATCGACATTAGAACAGCTATGTTTAACAAGTCTCTAGCCCCAGTCAGCCTGCAGTTTATTCCCAGTGAATTGCACAGATGGCTTTCTCTTTTCCCTAAATAACATGGAATCAGATTGTTTTGGCAGTCTTTGTGTGCTCTGCCTTAACCCCAGACTACAGGCATTTTAGGTCTTCTGTTCGCCTGTTTTCAGCGTTTGTGCTGAGGTCAGCCTGCAGATCAATTTAGACGCGGGAGGATGTGCATCGAGGCTCCCAGCTGCAGACCCGTGCTGGAGCTGGGCTCTGGTCTGGTCCCTGTCCTCCAGCATTTTCCCTGTCCGCTGCAGGCGGCATGGTCAAACCATGGTGAACGAAAGCTGGACTCAGTGGAGCTCTGAACGTTTCAAAAGGACTCTGAAGGAGCAAGCACACTTCCCTTTAACTAGAGAATTGTGCCTACCAGCCGCTTCTACAGAAACGGATGAGTCTTTTCGTCATTCAAGCCAAAGGAACCGTTCTAAAGTGTGTCTTCTTTATGGATTTGTGTGCATCTTCTTAGAACTACTTTTTTCCTCCTAATGTTTATTTTAAAACATTTTTATTGTAGTAAAATGTTCATAACAAAATTTGCCATTTAAATCATTTTTAAGTGTACAGTTTTATATAGCATTTAGTACATTCACGTTACACAACCATGACTGTCTCCAGAACTTTTTCATATTCCCCATTTGAAAATCTGTACCTAATGCTTTCTTTTGATAGCTTGTTCATTAAAAGGAGTAATCCTGTAAATAAAGTAGTCTAGAAGTGGTATTGATGACTCAGAGGAGGGAAGATAAAAATTTGTCATTTTTTTGTGTGCAGATGATTGTGGGACTACTTTTTGTTAACCATTGTTCCTTGTTCCTTGGCCTGTACTTCTAGAACACCATGAAAATGACATAAGAAAATCTGGCTCTGGCTGGTGTGGCTCAGTGGATTGAGTGCCCGCCTGTGACCCAGGGGTCGCTGGGTCGATTCTCTGTCAGGGCACATGCCTGGGTTGCGGGCCAGGTTTCTAGCTGGGGGTGTACGAGAGGCAGCCCAT